GCTGCTGCTGCTGCCTACATCGTGAAGTTGGCCGATATCGTGGCTTTTTCCGCTCTTCTTCTCTATTTTGTCTAGACAATGGCTGGATATGGATGGGGTTGGAACGCCCCTTTGCTTGGGCGTTGTTCAATGGGGCACGAGCTGAAGTACAGCCACCATCCTTTACATTCCTTAACGGAGAAATACTTCTTATACAAAGGCGGCGAAAAGTTGGGGTTTTCTGGGGTTCTGGACCTTTGACCAAACCGCCAAGCTCGCGGTTGTGGCTTTTGCGAGGACCGGCCAAGAGCTTGGGGGCGGGAGCTATGAGGAAGGCGGTTCCGTCCTTGTGGTGTTTGCTTTTGCGGGATGTGGTGGCTTCAAGGTTTTCCCACATTTTAGGGCACGGTCACGGACGAAGACGATGCTGGCCCGAGGCTTGGGGTTTGGCGCTTGTCCTCCTTTTGTTGATAGAGGCATGCTTAGACAAAGTTTGTTTGCCCATGGCGTGTGTCCTAAACTGGTGATTTTTTGTGGCTGGACGTGGGGGAAAGGGGGGGGAGGGTCTAGACCAAAGGAAAGTTTTCCAAAGGTTAATTTGCTTGGGGACGGAAAGATTTTTAGAAATATGCATCTTTTAGAAAAGTTCGATATGCCGAGTGGCAGGACGGTGTAAGTCGAGTGAAGTCGGCCAACTTGTGGATGATACCGCAGATGTAGCATCCAGAGAGACGGGTGGATGGATCTGGTTTGGTGGTGGATCTTGCATGACTACAGATACTCCCTTGGCTTATGCTCGTCTCTCGACTGGATGTCGGTTCATTGGCCGGTAAGCAGAGTAATACAGGACTCTGTTTATGCGCAGCGTTTTACTGTACAAACGGGGTGTATCCAGTCTATGGAGCACGGCAGTAATGCCTCTCGTTTCATGTCATGTAACGGATTCCACCAGAGAATTGTTCATGCACCCCCCTCCCCCCCCTTGGACGAAACAAGATCAATCAAGATACGACATGGCATGACATGCTAAGAATACCGCATCAGCACGTCACAGACGGAAGAGCAACAGGGGAATTCGGAAACAAGAAGTGGAAAAAAAACGGGCAACTTGAAACAAAAGGACCAGGGCGGATGGGTGAGCGAATCGGAAGCGCATCCACTCGGAAGAGCCGGTCGCGCCCGGCTCACGCCACCGATCGTAAGATTCCCAGGGATCGACGGAGGACGGAGGAGAGGATCCGGCAACGTTAAAAGTAAGAAGACAGGCAGGCAGGGAACGGAGGCCAGAAAGTCTAATGCTACGAGTGCCGAAGGGTAGGGCTGGTCCCCTGGAAGGAAGAATAAAAAAAAGGGACCGGAAGGAGAAAAGGGGATCGTGTGATTTAGTTTTTTTATGCCGGATCGTAGCCGGGCGATGTGAGATGAGGGCCGGAAGGGAGAAGCCGGAGGGCACGGAGCTGAAGAGTTGTCCCGTCTTATTCCTTTTGCCTTGCCTTTTTTTTTTTTTTTTTTTTCATGCTGTGCATAACTATTACGTTTGCCTGGGTTGTTTTCTGATGCCAGCTTGGACGTGGCAATCGGACGACAGCCGGCTCAACTCCAACGATTTGAAATTGACATTCAACGGGGCTGAAGCAAGCCGCAGTTGGGGTACTTTTGCCACATCTCAGCACTGCTCTCCCTCTTTGAGCTGGCTATCGTTCTGTCTGGTGAGCGACAGCCGGGCCCAAGATGCGGCAGAGGCGCCGGCAGCAGGAGATTCCTCAGACGTGATTTGCCGGCAGAGGAATGATTTCATGTTGTTGGCGGGATGCTAACGGAGTAATTGTCACGGAGGATTATTTTTCTGGCTGATGTTGGCTGTATTTTTCGGGCTGATATTAGCTGGTCCCGAGAACAGGGCACCGGGCCCCAAGGGGAAAGCAGAAAGTCAAACGTCCCATGACGGTGATTTTGGGGAGTTTTGGCAGTTAAGGATGAAGGAGAGAAATCCATCACAGAGAAGCCGCAAAAATGCCACATTCATCCTTCGACGGCGGTTCTTTTTTGTGCAAGGGGGCTGAGCAAGGCGACAAGCGGGTTCAGCTACATGCACAGCTGGGGTACATCGTGTGTTTCCCTTTTCTTTTTCCTTTTTTCGGATTGACAGAGGCGATCCCCGTAGATTGAAAAAAAAAAAAAAAAATAGAAATTGCGTCTTTCAGCTCGAGACATTGCTCGCTTACCTTGTTTCCATCCAAACCCCTGGGAAACGAATAGAAGACTATTGGAAGAAAAGGGGGGGCCACACAAAAATAGGAGAACGAAAAAGAAGAAAAAATTTTCATCGTGTCTCACATCTTACTGCAGCCTTCTTTTCATGCTGCCCTGATTTGATTTTTCTCTTATTTTTTTTGTGAGCCCGTCAACAATCTCACTCCCCCCCTCAAAGGTTAGGCAGCGTTAGATCGAGATCCGCGATGCCGCTAGTCAGCCCAGCTCAGCCCAGCTAAGCCTGACAAGAAGAGAAATTTTTTCCTCTTCCCCCTTCTCCTGATTAGCGTCGTCGGGAAGAGCTCTCTCCAGGATTTTCGGGTTGTTGTACTCCGTCAATCCGTATACTCGTCCACTGCACTACCTTTTTTTTTTTTTTTGCCTCCCTCTGTGTAAGTATCGAGAGAAGAGCTCCATCGCAAATCCACATTCCGCTCCGCAGCCCCAGAGAAAGCGGGAACCAAGCTCAAACATCGAACCACTCTCTAGTACAGCTTAGTTAGAGGAGTTGATGCCATACAAACGTCACGATGGCAGGCACGTGTTGTTGCAGTGGAATGTCTCGTCCCCATACTGCACTTCGCAAACTGAAGCGCAAGTCTCTGCCCCCGACTCAAACCTCGTCCAGCCACAGTCCAGTCCAATCCACTCGCCGTGCTGCATTGTACAGCAAAGCCAATGGAGAAGACCCAACCCAGAATAAGGAAAAACTGGATACGTAAAGTTCCCCATCGTTGAACAACGCACAACAAACCTTGTGCAGAAAAAAAAACCCAAAAATCCCAGCTTTCGGCTCTCCTACGTGCCATCCCGGCGGGCTCCAGTGTCCACTTTCCGGACAGCCGGTGGCCGGACCAGCAGCAGCGTTTTCCGGGGGTCTGAAAAGCTTCAAGAGCTTTCAAGGGTTGTTTTTGCCATTTGCGTTGTGCTTCTCCATCTCCATCGTGGGCCGGTATGTGCCGGTGATGAGCTGGCAGGCCGGGTTTGGGGGATTTGGGCAAATCAGCAATAGGCTCGTATCGCGGTGGCTTCTTGGCACTGGATGCATTACTGTTGTATACGTGTGTTGTTGTGCATCACTCTGTATAATATTTTGTACAATGACCTGGTACTCTGTACTCTGTACTCTGTACTTGATTCATCACTGCGAATTGGGTGTTGCATCTGCACTAGGCATCCTCGTCTGCCTTGGTATCGCATCATATTAACCAGCACCCCAGCAAGGCAGCTTACACTTACAGCATCAAGAGTATTAATCAACACCAGACCTCATGCAATCTACATCCAACGGCTGCCTGGGCACCTTGTCAACCTGTACAAGTCCTATTCCTCCTCGTAAATCGCCAGATTCGATGCAACTGTGCATTGACACCCCCGTTCTCGCTTGGGCAGCCCAGCGTCGCTCCCCCGTTCTCCCTCCGGCCAGGTCGAGCCGTTGGGTGCATTGCCGGTGGCATTAGCACTGCGACATTGGCCTCCTTCGCCACGGCGTTTGTGTGCTTGTCCGCCGCAGCGCATCTGATAGCAACCGCACCGCACCTGCAACAGGGGTTTAAAGCCCGTTCAATTGAGTAGATACACGAAGTAATACAGCGCTGTACAGGGGGTAGAGTGAGAGAGACGGCAGCAGAAGAAGAAAAAAAAGGCAGCCCGCGTGTAATTTGCCTACTACTTGCCTTGCATCGGCCACGTCCGTCCGTTCTCTCCACACAATTGCTTTTTTTTTTTTTTTTTTCGCAAGGCAATATCCGCCCGGATACCGAAGCCGCGGACGGGCAACGGAGCAACCAAGGCAGCAAAAAAGGAATTGGAAAAAAAAGGCAGAGAAAAAAAAAACTAGCAATGCATGCCAAAAAAGCCAATTGAGCCGGAACCCTCAAGGATGGTGAGAATTTCGTACACAATTCCATGAATGAAAAAAAATTTTTAAAATTACAAATAGCTGGACAAAAACAAGATTTCCATACCAAACGTAGCGGTTTCGTCACTAATGGTGAGAATTTCAGGGATCAATTAATTAACTGATTTGCCACTCTCCCCAACTACAACACCAAGGAATCAACAACCCCCAAAATACAGGGCACATCGAAAAAACTCAATCACCAAGGGGAACAATAGCATCACTATTTGCCCCCCCTTGAAGTTCCGTCCGCAAATAGCAGCTCTCCGTAGATTTTCCTCCATCCCGCATCTTCTCTCCCCAGCCCGGTCAGGCACGGCTACCGTAGGCACTTTGGGCTTCTTCCCCCCCACAGGGTCTTTGGTGTCTTTTCCCTTGAGCCGACACACCAAGTTCCCCTTCGCCTCCTGGGCATCGCGCATTGGGACGCAATCGAATGGGCGGTCCAGGAAGAGGCTGCGCGTTTCCACTTGCAACCGAGTACCTTGCATTACGGGTTGCATGGCGGTGTCTAGTACTAACTATGCGAAGACTTGCCTACAGTACTAGTAATAAACACGGGCTGGGTGTAAGTAGCGCAACAGAACCCCAAGATAACGGCATCAGATAGTAATACGTAGATCCACAAAGTAAAGCGACGGCTCATTGGGCCCGTCCATGGCGTGCGGCAGATTGGGCATCACGATAGTTGCTAGTGCCGCTCGCACAGATAGAGTTTACGTACAAGTCGATCCGATGTCGCAGTCAGCCTGACAGTCAACGGTCGGCATCAAACATCGCCACCCGGAGCACGCCTTTGGCAGCCCGCCCAATCACAAGCACCAAGGCGCATCACAGAACGAGACAAGGGAGTGCAAACGTTGTTTTTGACCAAGTCTTAGACAGGTTGTTTCTATTCATTGACGATGCAGAGCATCTTCAGCTTGAGCTATCCAATTTCCAAGAATCCATCCTTTTTTTGCTTCTCTTGCCTCCCCCATTCCCCCTTCCCTTGGTCTTTTTGTCCAAACAGTAAATTTCCAGTGACCGGGCGGCTCCGCAGCACGCCGACTGCCTTTATCTGCGCCATCATTCTTGCTCTGATCCCAAAATCTTGGTCTGCGCCGCTGATCATGTCCCAAATATCATAATGTGTTGCCCGCCAGCACCCAAATGTGTTTCCCTTGTGCCATGCTAATAATAAACAGTGGTTTGATATCAAGTCTCCGCCCAATCTTTGTGTTATGTTGTGGTATACAGACGCCCGCAGCGGGGTCCCGTCAAATCCAAATCATTCCGCGATAAAACTCCGTGACAAAAGAAATAATAAAGAGGTGGGTTGTAGAGAAGACAGTGCGCTCAATTAAAAAAAGAATTCCAAAGAGGCAAAAAAGTGCTTTTATGGGTATACGGTGCTCCATGTAACGTCCGTCTTGATACAACTCAAGGGAAATAAAGACGTAAAGGAAAAAAAGGCCTTGTTCAAATGAACAAGAACAGTATAGCAAGTAATGGTAATATGGTTTCGTATCGTTTCATGTTTGTGTTGCGTATGATTGAGTTGCGTAATGGTAGAGTGTGTGTATTCGTATGGTGGATGTTGGTGATTTAGTATGATCGCCGGCGCTGCAGTCTGACCTGCTCGAATGAAACGGCGTATGCTCGCAGTTCCATGCGTGCCTTGTCTGACAGTTGGCTTGCCTCGGCGGTGGAGGAGACGCTCTGCATGGAGCAGAGGCTGCTGTGTGAGCTCGAGGGAGTGAGGCCCCGGTTCGCGGAGAGAGGTGACATCTCCGACATGTAGCTGCCAAAGGACGAAGACGACCGAGGTGTTGAGCCGTAAGGCTGGGCCTGGTTGAAGTCGTAGGCGGGAGACAGGTAGAACTTGGTGGGAGCAGGTCGGCTTGAGAGGCTGCCTGATCTAGCGTAGGAGACAGGAGCGAAGCCGGGCGAGCTGGCCTGCGAGCTGGGAGTGGAGGGAGTCTTTTCGAAGTCGGACATTTTGCATGCTTCAGAGCAGTAGGCGTCGCCGTCGACCTGGACCTGTCGGTCGCAGGCAAGGCAGAACTCGTGTGTCCACATGTCGAGAGCCATTGCGTTGGTTGTTGGTGTTGGTATAGAAGAGTAGAGTAGAGTAGAGTAGGCGGGGGAGTCACGAATGTAAAGCGTGAGTCGAAGTGGTGTTTGAGCCAAGAGGCAGAAGCAGAGAGTGGACGAAGAGTCAGAGTATTATAAAGAGTTGGTAAGAGTCTTCGCGATGCCTTGAAAGGAGAGCAAAGTTGAGAAGGAGAAAGTTGGTGGTTGACGAGGAGCAGTGGAGAGATGAAGCGAGGGCAACGGGATGCATATGTACTCTTCTGGGATGCTGGAGTGCGACTTGAGTGGTGTGGGCATGGTGTGGTGGAAGAGTGGGAAGTGGGGAGTACAAGTATACTTGCGACGAGGTACCGGTGGGGCTGCAGAAGTACGGAGGTACCTCCTAAGTGGAGAAGTGCTAGTGCTACCCCAGCGTCGAGTTGGGACCCACCAAGAGAGACTGTGAGAGACAGAGAGAAAAAATTGTGTAAGAGTGAGTGAGAGCGAGTTGTGTGTGTGTGTGCGTGCACTAAACGGTACCGGTATGGTACGCGCACCCCCCTGGGCACAGCCGCTGCAAAACTGAGGCCGCGACGAGGGATGACCACCGTTTGGCACGGCTAGCGCTGCATGGGCGCTGTACAGGCTCTGTACCTGCCTGGCTGCGGAGGAGGGAGGGAGGGTACTCGTACGTACTCGTCGCCATCAGCCCACGCATGGGCAGAGTATTGCTTGTGCATCTGGTGCTCAGGAGCCTGCAGTGTCGCATCCAGACTGGAAACGGCTACTGTCCAGGACGACAGGGGGGGTGGAGCACGAAAATTGAGAGGGTTGAAGGGGGGGTGGTGCGATGGATGGATGCTGGCCATACAGGACATGGAGGACCTTGAGGACCACCTTGAGGACCATACATAGTACAGCTTCACCACAGCGCTGAGTACGGGGGGGCGTGCCGCCTGGGTTTGGGGTCATGCCCTGCAGAAAATGTCCAGATAGCGCCGTCGATGTGAAATGAACGTCAAGACAGCCAATATTATGCTCCATGGGGGTGTGCGGGCAAGGCAACGCCGTCGTGGCTGATTTGCTGCCGTACGCAACACCTACGCTCCAAGGCTCTCTCTGCCAAAATTTTTCACACAGCCTGGGTGTGGCTTGTCCTGCATGCCTTGTGCGCGCCCATGAAAATTTTTATGCTGCCTGCCTCAACAGCTAACGCTCAGAAAAGCACCAGACGCAGAGTTTCGTAGCGACCGGCGCGGGGAGGTCCGTCGACCGCGGCCTAGCGATAGCGTCGCTGCGACGGCCATCAGCCCAGCTCCAAATGAAAATCAAATCATCAAGGTCTTCTCCAGTCTGGCGACAGCCGTAGCGGCAGGCGAGCCATTGCGCCAGGCGTCTGTTAGGGCGCTGAGCTTGCGGGAGGGCCCCAAGGCCCCAGTGCTCTTCCCCATTCCCAGCCGGACTCGCTAGCCTGTGAACATTCGACTTTTGCTGGAGCCATGATGCCACGCTGTACCTTGTCGCGGTGACTCAAGAAGACGGCCGGGCTCGGGGCGTCGCTTGTGGGCAGATTGGCATCAAAGGTGACGCCAAAGTGGTGGGCTGTTTTTCGCCCCTCGGGTAGACATGAGCAGCAGGAAGGAAAAATTTTCGATTATCGTGTTGCATTGAGACCAGGTAATGGTGACGGAGATGGTGTCACAGGGCCAGTGTCCACGATTCGGTTTTTTCAAAGTCCTTTGCGCCGTGCTCAGTCGATTCAATCAATTCCTCACAGCCGTGCGAGTAAGGGCTCTGCATAATTGATGCTATGTCGTGATCGCAGCCGCCAATGAGCCCATGGACGGCCTCCCCTCCTTCTGTGCAACCGCTGCCCCCCCCCTCTGTAGCCTGCTGTAAATTGCACTGAGCGCTGGAAGCAGAGGGGTTGCAGACGCTGTGCGACACTGCCTGAATCGTCAACGAACTCAATCGCGTGTCATGCATTTCATGCCACAGCGGTTGTGCAACACTGCTAGTGTACCCTGGAGTCTCCTCGTTTGATACAAGGCATGCATGTTGGTGTTTTTTTTTTTTTTTTTTTTTTTTTTTGATCTTCATGGATTGGCCAATTCAAGGAATTCCGTGGAAAGTAAAAGATCCTGCAAGTGTTTCTTCATCAATTGGCTTGGGACACATGGCAAACACCCAGCCAATGGCTTCCAGAGCCCTTCTTGCGGACCATCTTCCGAGCCGCTCTCCCTTTCTTTTCCTGCCCAATCTAATTCCCCTTTCCCACCTGTGATATCAGCTTGCTGTCCGCTATGGAGAATGGAGAACTGCCCAAGCGATCTTCTCTTGACCCCTGGAATGTTCTATGGATGCCCAGGAGAGAAGGGGAAATGAGATTGCAAGATCCTTGATCTTGGTGCCTTAGGCAGGAAATGCAGCGATGAAGTCTGGCGGTGGGTCTCGACGAGGGTATGCCTCGACGGGGCTAGCGGCAGGCTAGGCCGTCTCTGGCTAGCAGCCCGCGTTCTTGGCCTTGATCATCCCCCCTTTGCCGTTGACCAGCTCCTCCAGAAATGATGCTCTTTGATAGATACAGTAGTCATGATACGCAACTACGCACGTCGGTAGTTGAGCAAAATCCCGCTCCACCTCGAGTCGTATCCTCTCGCCCCTGGGAGCACCAAACTGCCGTCATGTGGACTAGTCCCGCGCTTCTCTTGGCTCGCAAAGATGCAATAGCTGACACCATATGGGTGATTGCACGCGGTATACTACACTAGCATCCAGTATGCGGTAGTAGTAGTAGTGGCAGCAGCAGTATACGAGTACGGTATTGTGCAGTGCAGTGCAGCGCAGCGCAGCACCGTATACGCCATGCCCATGCCCCCCGTGCCCTGCGGAACATTTAGGAGGCCAGCCGAGAAATGATAGCGTCTCCTTGGCATGGCATCGTGGTGTTTCGCTGGCAGCTCCAGATTCATTGGCGCTTGCTCCTTTGCGAGCTGCAACAAGCTGCATGGGCGACAGTATGCGGCATGGTGCCAGCGTTGGTGTAAAATAGCACGGCGCCAGCCAGCATCCAAGACGGGCCACCGAAATGAACCTTGAAATCAAAACAGCCACAGCATAACTAATCCTGCAGATACCAGCTCTCAGATCGTCGCACGGCATCTCTGTACCACAGCGCTTAAACAGGCATCGTCTGGGGTGCTCCGGATATTGCCAGCGACCAAACAGCTGAGCTGGCAGTGGTATTCACTAGCCATGGTGTGCCGTGCTATCGAACCAGCTGCCGTACGTTGCCCTTCATTCCTCGGACATGGCCGTTTCAACGGCTCACGCGGGTGCCCTTGATGGCACACCTCGGGACAAGATTGTTTCTCGTTTTGTCGCAGAAGAGAGGCAGAAGAAAAAAAAAACCCTCATCTCCAGTGTGTCCATGGCGGCAGCGTAGGACTCTTGGGAACAAGTTACAACGACGCAATCAACCTCGTCCCCCTTGTTGGTGCAGAACCGGTGCGATGCCCATCCAACCTTTGCCGACTTGCGCATCTGCGGGAGGCGCACCTGGATCACGACGCCTATTGGCCATGGCGAGGCGGAAGGACGGTGATCACCCTCTCAGATCTGCCTCGATAGGGCGAGTCGACCATCCGCTAGCGAGCCTCTCTTCCAGGATGGACGACGCCAATGTCTCCCAGCCGTGATGCCAGTTGGCCGCGTTGAGCATCGCTTACAAGCTCGTCGTCGACATGGCCATGTGCTGTTATCAAGGGATGGTGTGGAGGCCGCTAGAAGCTCGACCATGCCCTTTGCGATTTCACCTGCTTCTGGAGGCGTCGACGTCGCACCGGATTGGCGCATGGCGGCGGCAGCCAGTTCGACAGGGACCGTCATTAGCCACTAGCAGCCAACACCACTCCTACCATCACCATCGCTACCACCACCAGTCGGCCGTCCAGGCAGGTTCCGTGGTGGGAGTCCGTCATCCTTTGCCTCCTCAGCACCATTACGAGTACAGGCCTTGTTGGGGATTTGGGGGATGTGCCGCTCTGAGGGGTTCATCCCTTGCCGTCACCTGACAGCACGACTGACTATCCAGCCATGGCCAGGAAGCCTGCCTCTGGCCAAGACACTTGTGCAGCTCCAACTGCTAGTCCAAGTACGAGTACGTGCTCCTTACCAAGTACTGTAGCGTACCTACTGTATGTAGTATGCACTGCTACTCAACCAAACCCACCCATGGCAGAGTCTGTGGTGGTGCGGCTGGATGCAGTGGGGACCATGATAGGCTGCAACCTCATCTCGCCGTGCATTATTGAGCGTCAAGTCAAAGCCTGTTCGCCATATGTATGTACTGCCAGCATCCAGCCAGGCCGTTGATGGCTGTGTTAATGAGATTTTGATGGGGGATCTCCGGATCACCAGGGTCCATGCTAGTATCAGCATCTTTAGTAGTATTGCGCTGTACGAGTACAGTATGCTGGTTGAGTCCATCGTATCGACAAGTCTCTTCGCGATGCTCAGTGCTACTGTATCTAACAAGCGAATGGACCCCTTTGAATTAATTTACGTGGTGGTGGATCAAAGGCCGAGGCCAGCGGCCAACGCTCGCTTGCTCGACGTACATACAAGTAAGGTACCCCTCAAGCGAATGTGTGCGTTTCATTTGGCATGCAATGGCAGGTTCCCCGGCTGTGGTGGAGAGATCCCTACGGGGCAGACTGCGATGCGATACGTCTTGCAATTAGTATTAGGGGGATCTATTTCTTGGGGAAATACGGAGTAGTAGCCTCTTGGCATTGGCCATTGGCTCGAAGGATGATGGGATCCATCGAGGATGCAGACAACCTGCAGTGCGCAGGCGCATTCCGGGGGCCGCGAGAGCTGGCATGGAACCAGGCAAGCCAGGTTATTTCGAGCGCAGGACGCAGTGCAAGTGCTCTGAAGGCGAGGCGTCGTCGTCATGCACGGCTCGCGTCAAGGCTAGCAGCCAACCTGCTTCATCGTGGCGGCAACCCTGATGTATACGAGCATGGCGATCGGCAGGGTATTACGCCAGAGGGCCTCCCGGGTTGGCGTCGCTGCCTTGGACGGAAGCATTGCGACCACGATGGCTTCGTGTCGCGAGACAGCCACCAGAAGACTCACCCGGCGAGGGGTCATCAGGCTGCCGCGGACATTGAAGACCTGCAGCACAGCAAAAGGGGGGTGAGGATGCGGACGATATCACCGGTAAGAAGGCATCCCTGGCGTGTACAATGTGCGCGCCCTACGGGTATCGCCCTGCCGCGGGGATCCAGCATACTGGGTGGTCTTTTAATAAACAATTCATGGAGTGAGAATGCTGCACTCCTAGTGGTCGTGCAGAAGCGAGGAGAGCCACGGTCGTCAGAAACGAGCAAAGGCAACCGTTGCATGGGAATGTCTAAACTTGGAGACGTCCATTCCAACCCCGCGATAATCTACATACTGTACGCATGTAATGCACGCTACAGATGATATCACTTTTGACCCTCGTCGAAATATACTGCACACACAGTTCCTTGGAGCAGGCCATACATCATCACCTGCAGTAGATGGGCGCTTGACCCCCGGAATAGGAAAGATATCACCAATGAAGGGACTTTCTCCAAGCAATGTGCGCAGCAAGAGGGATGATGCAACATCTTCGCCATTTTGCCTCTGCTGAGCTACCCTGCACCAGATAAAGGATTGGCCAATCCGCCGCCAAGCAGGAGGGGAAAGAAGAATTGCTACAGCACTCGTACGAGTACTATCTGTGCGACACCACCCTGGGATGGAGCGCCCAGTCTGGAACAGAGCTCGCCTTTCCAATTGAGGATCCAGCTTCAGGCGACCAGGGACCAGAAGGAGGGCATTCCGAGGCATCCATCGCGCATTTCCCCAAATTTCACAAGCGGCCTGCCGCAGTGCAGAGAACAGCCCTCCGAACCACCTCTACATCACCACTAGTCCGTACACAGCTTGGGGTCTTACATGACAGCATCACTAGCCAGGCCGATACGGCATCGCATGGGCCGTCAGTTGGTGTCGTGTGCGTCAAAACTGCACTACCAACCGGACTCGGCCTCTGGAACGTGCCGACTCGGATGTTTGTTCCCCAACCGGCGGCGGGCGCAACAGATGAGGGCTTGAGCAGAATACGGATGAGCAGGGCTATTATTACCAACGAGTATCTTTCATCGACAGGAACGGAGTACAGTACCAGGGATATTGACATGACCCAACCAACGACGGGGCCTGGCATCGCCGTTACCCCATACTGCAAAATGAGATCGGATGATGCGGAGAGCCATTGCGCAGAAGGCAGTAGGGCAACTGCCCACGCACCATGTGCTGAATGCGTTGATCAGACCAGGCATGAGCAAGAATGGCGAGGTCTCGTCCAAGGCGCAAACATCTTCACTCCAACCACGAGTGCAGTGCTGCCTTTACCATTGATGACTCCATATCACCTGTACGAGTACTGTTCCTGCACAGCGAGCTCTGACGGTGCAATCCAAGAATTTCAAATAGTACTGCCAGCGCCTAGTTCCAAACCACAGCCCTAATTGCCAGGGGCAATCGAAAACGGGCGCCAGAACCGTTTCAGCCCTGGTTGATCATGCCTGGCCTGTCATGTCAGATTCACCACTGCCGTGAGCAAACGACCAAAAGCACTAACAGCTCCATACCAGTTACAGCTACGGAGCACTTGCTACTCGCTCTGTATCACCACACCGGCGAAAAAAGTGGTGCCAGTGTTGATGTGCCTTATCCACTGGAAGCACGTCATCCTGGGCACGGGCGATGGCATGTTCTTGTCTTCTTGCTCTCTATTTGTCTTCCCACTCTGTCGGTGCCAGTGCTCCGTCCCAGCGCCGTGGTCACGGCCATGCGCCTTGCCGTAGTGGCTGACTGAATCTCCAAGCTGGTCGTGACGGCGGAGACTTTGTTCTATTGCGCTGGGTAATCAGCGACAGTGGTGGGCGAATAAGCAGCTGTAGAGCTGCCATATCAAGATGCGATACGCAGCAGGCGTGCGCTAGAGGCCGCGGCGTCAAGCCCATCATATCCCGTGCTCAAAGCCCAAACTTAATTGATCCAGTATGAAAGGGATACAAGGACGCGTGCAAGCAACTGCTAAGACGCCTGGTCGCCACTCCCGCGCCTCAGCAAACTTCCCACGGGCTAACATGGTCGATGCTCGACTCAGGTTGAGCTCGAGCCCCTTGGATTGTGGTTGAGGGCCCCATCGTCTCACGCAAGCTGGGCGATTCACAAGAGGACCAGGGCATCGGGAGAAAAAAGAAAAGGGCACGTGGGTGGTCCATATAGCGACTTCAAATCTCCCTTATTCGGATCTGGGTCGAACCGTTATGGAAACTAGGCTCCGCTCAGAGTTCAGCTCGTCTGAGAGTGGAGGAGGGAGTGCTGCTACGCCTTGCCAGGCTAGGAGAAGGCTAATACCACTACTGGCATGGCGCGACGGCCGTGGCTCTTGAGGCTATCTTGAGCAATCTCTAGTGAGAATGTGGACGGCGCCATTCTTAGCCGAACATTGGCGGGTGATCGTCAAGTTCAGCCACGGCTTGAGCAATACGGTATACGACGAGAGTTCAACGAGTTGCCTATGCTAATAGCTTCCTTCTGCTGTTGATGGGATAAGCCAGCAGTGGGGGAACGCTTGTGCCCCATGTATGAGCTTTATGGAGTACTGAGGAGACTACTTGTACGCTGCACAGCTAATCTGGTTGAATCGTGGCTTGTTTCCTATGACTCCCACGCATGAGAGGAGCACAAGCACTAGACGGTGCCTTGCATTGGTTTGCAATGACTCGGACTCGGAGCAAAGACTGGTTCGAACCAGAGCTGTTAGAGCTGCTGCACTGGCCAGCGTGTAAATGAACCGACCTTGGCGTGTACAAGGCCAAATGTGTGCAAGACAAGTCTTGTCATTGGTTCCCCACCATCAGAACCAAATCTCCCGATCAAGTGATCCATTGGCTGTTGCAACATATCGACAGTTCTCGCATGATCAATGCTACTGTACTAATACTATTCATTTTCAGAAATGTATGTCTCTTTCTTACTTGCTTACCTGCCGCTGCAAATTTTGAGGCTGCAAGGCTTTTGCCACACTCAACACCATTTCACTGCTGGTAGCACCACCGCCACCATTTCCCCCAACATGTCAAATGAACTTTGATGCAGCGCCTCCGCCCATTCCCTTTCAGAGCCATCCCACTCTGTTGAGGGTGTCCTATTGGCGTCTTGAAGCGCCCAAAAGATGCAATCCCCCAAGAAGGCGCCCTCTCGCCTCTTTGTTTCATGCAGCTATTCCGAGTCAGGTCCCGGACTAGGACCAAATGAGATCGACCACCAAGCCCTGCCAGCCTCCGACACCCTCGTCAAGTCTCTTTTTCTTCCCGCCTTGAGCTCTTTGAGTAAGGGCTTGGGACTAACTGCGACCGCTCTAGTTCCTCCTGGATGGCCTTTGTTGTTGCCACAAGAAGCGCTAACGCCAAAACTGAGAAGTCTCACACAAACATACACGCCCCCTTTGCTGAGCAGCAGATCCACCAGATATGAAAGGATCCACCGCGATTCCGTTTTGAACGCTGGTCTGCGGTTGGACTGATGGGCTCACCTTTGAGGGCAACGATGGGCCCCTGAGTCAAATCTACAAGTGCCGTGCGTATGTCGTGAATAATGGACGTCAAGAGAAGGATGGGGTAATGCCTGCAGCAGGTGTACTCGTACGAGGATGATGGTGCGATTCGCTTGCTGTCGTACTTGGCCAACGAGGGGCATCCCACCTGAAAACCATCGCGTTCACGCATGAAGCCTCAACTGGCAGCGTGAGCTACTGTTAATAGTCTGCTCATAAACAGCGTGAAAGTTGGGAGCTATTTGCACTTAGGGCAGCTCGGGCTGCGGAATAGCTGAAGCCGATGTCTTGGAAGTGACGACATCGATTACGGTAGAGAGGGGGGGGAGAACGGTCTCTTTCGATGACAGGGCGATTTCGGCAGTGAACCATGTTCACCTTCATCACCCAAGAGCGTGACGATCGACCATGGAACGGAGCATGTATCAGAGACCATCTTAGTGCCGCCATGGATACGGCAGCGCCTCCGCAACTAGCCGTGCTATTCTTTGATTTCATTCAAATTTCAAATTTCGGGAGCCGGACGCCAGCGCGCGCAACGGATCGCTGGTGCTTACAACTATGCGCTTTTGCCGGACCCTCTGATTCACAGATATGAGGGTCTGAGATTGCTGCTATTCTCGGCTCAGAGCAAGAGCAAGGCCTACGGAGAGACAGTCTGGAGTGCTCGCACTAATAATATCATTTCCCATGGGTACTGGTGATCCACGTCAACGCCTACCGCTATTAGGAGACAACTGGAATGGATAAGAGTCCGAAACAAGTCTTGCGTATTAGCGGTACCGTACTCGTATGTACGATGGACAACTTGCTCAGGCGAAATAACAACTCAGGCCCCAGTGCTGTGTGACGCTAGCTTATCAATTTGGATCAAGTATCGTCATGCCATGGGGACGCATCTCTTTCGAACTGCCACTAGCTACGAGTATCAAAGACCGTACTATGCATGGTGGGAGGGCGTCTGCGAGAGCTCGTTGGTCCAGACCCAAGTTTTGGGGGGGTTCTGTTTCTAGTTGGACAATAATGGTTTGCGTGCCTTGCATGACCGCTTCCAGCGACCTCCTTCGTCAACGAGGTCTCATTGGCTGGCCGCGACGCAAGGCGAGATTGCCATGTGGTTGATCTTTGCGCGCTCTCTGGCTCCCCCTACTCGTATTAGCTGGGACGACGGCATTTTCGCTGTATCCAAACGAGCTTCGTACCAGAGCCAGCGCCGATACCCACGAGAGCCGTTCTGTCACTTGAGCCCCGATTTTTTTCTTTACCGATAGAAAAATAGAAGACCAGAGTGGGGAGAAGGGATGGATGCATCGTGATTGAGAGACGCACTGGACTTGTCGGGTTTGCGGGACGCCCGGAAAGGGAAAGGCCCCCCTTGCACGAACCAGAGAACCCGAGTTATCCATTCTCTTTGCATGAAGCTGCAGCTGCTCCCTTTGAACAGGAGCGAAGCCACGTGCAGAAGGTGAGCCCGCCATGGCATCATGGCCGGGTGAGTTGCGACGGCGCAGCGGGCGGGCCGGGACTGTTGTGGTGGATATTCAGAGCGAGAGTCGGTCTTGACTTTGATGATATGTGACAGCTTTTGACGGTTTGGTACTAGTACAACGGCGGACAAAAAGTGCAGATTCGTACAGTCTTCCGTGGTCCATGCCTGTACTCCGGCAGTCGAGAAGCAAGGGAGAGAGGGCTCCAGACTGACGAGGAGGGAGAGAGGAGACGGGCGTGCCAATATTGGGGACTCGTCCTCCCTCTGTCCCATGTCTCGCCTCTCGCTCACAGAGCGCGCTACTGCTTTTTTTTCTGCCAAGGCAACGCCGGCGCTTGGCTGCTTCTCGTATACAAGATGAGCTGGCCTAAAGCCATTTCTCTCCCTTGGGGATCAGGATCAGAGACAAGACAGGTGTAAGATGGTCGCCGGCCATGGCCTGGCTCCAAAAGCCTAGAACTCGGGTCGGGGTCCCCCTCATGTTTGGCTCAGCTTTTTCTCTCTTCTGACGCATTTGTCTAGGACTTCGGGGTTCAAACCACATGCTGGGATTGTGATAGATCACAATATTTCCCCGCATTCCTCTCGCGCCAGCCTTCTTGCGGTTCTCCCTGCTCCGTGAGGACCAAGAGTTATTGGCTGTGCTGCGGCATCTGGACCCTCTCTCTCTCACGGCCTTCTTCATAATTGTGCACATCTCCGTGCCTTAGGGGGCGTGGCCTCCTCGTGGGATGGGGATTTCGTGAGCATGTTCTTTGACTATTTCCGGCTTCCATCAGCCCCTGCTGGAAGCCCAATAGTTCGCTGCGGCTACTAGGAACGTAAGCAGCGTGTTCTCTTACTGTGGATTCCGCTGCTGCACCCCGTATTTTGCTCACCGGTTTGCTGGATCGCTGCCCACATAATGGTTTACCACTTGGGCAGTTCCCCTTGCGGGTGCTTTGGGCATACTTTTGCCAACAAACACACGGTTAAGACAACATTGAGACTAGTGGACGCCGATAGCCCGGGTCAATGCCCGACCGAACGAATGAGAACTACATGGAGGAGACGCCCTTGGGATGGAAAAAGAGACTTGTCTAGCGTCATGAACTGCGCTTCAGCACGTCGAAACGCTTTTGTCAAAAGGTGTCGGGCTAGTCAGAGGGCATCCCTGATGAAGGATGGGATCCCCATTTTGGGGAGGACGAAGGCGAAGGGTTACGAAAGCTCTGTCTGCCAGCGCCACAATTTGCCGTCGCGGCAACAGGTTCTTGGACCTGTTTTGGCCAAGAAATCTCTGCTTTGGATCAAATACTGTACGGAGAGAGCAAAAGGTGGGCTGGACTGGACTGGATTGGGCTGGACTGAGGGTCTACTGGCTTCGTGCCGTGCCTCCCGCAATGCCAACTGACCCACCAGACGATTTATCATCTGTTTTTGTCTCCCTCTCGTTGCAGGTCCAGGTTAGCAGCCGTCTCGATATATTGCTGTTATATTGAACTCGCAGAGGCAGCATCCAATAGTCCTCGTTTACGACCTGCATAACGGCGAATGGCCATGCTGGTGGAGGGTAGCAGCACAGGTAGGTCGTGGTATTAGTTTGCCCCCCCCATTCCACCACTCCCATCCCTCCCTCAAGTCCAATAAATTGCTTTTCAGTGTGGTGCATAAAATTGCCTCCCCTCGCGAGCAAGGCGTTCGTCGACAAGTGCCGCCATTGGCTGGCCAGCAGAATGGTGGCTTTTTCTCCCTGTCCTCTTTCCTTTGGTGTTGGAGTTTAAGATTAATCGAGCCTATTTCTTGCATGTTCTGTTTAGCGCCGTACCATATCGCAAAACTTGTCGCGTCGCACAAAGGCTTGCCTGACATGCCGGGAGAGCAAGAATTGTGCTACGAGACGGCGAAGCGAGCCGACAGGCCCCCATGCATTGGGGGGGAGGATTGCGTGAATGCACACAAGCAAGCTGCGTCTTTACTAGAGCAAAACAGAATGCTGCGTCTTTACTAATGCAAAACGAATGCTGCTTTTGAACGGCTGAATATTACCACTTGCCAAATTTCGGTCTTTGCGTTGCAGGACAGCCCGCGCCAACATGGTTGACCCGCTGTTATCATTCAGAAACCCCATGGTTTGGATGGTCCTGGCAGTAAGCACCTGTCCAGGTAATTGCTGCCCCGTTTCCCGTCAGTCCGTGCTTTCGTACTTTGACTGCTTTGACCATGACTCCGGAGAATAGATCTACGCAAAGCTGAGGGGCCTAACAAGGGTCTTCATCCCAATGGCCTTCAGATTGCCGTATCCTGGCCAATCAGCGCGCAGCAGAGACCACTCCAGGGAAAGGCCAAAGATTGGCCCCTTTCGCACTCGACGCCGGATACGGAGTGAAGCTCCGTGCCTTGCCTTGTAAGTCGCCAAGGTGCCAGACGGCTAGGCTACCAGGGGCAGCCAGCATTCAGGCATTCTCCCGCATACCTGGACGGTATGTGGTGCTGCATGGAGGGCGTGGACTGCTGACAAGGCTCTGACAAGGCTCAAGACGACAAAGAGAGAAGCAAAATAGAGAAATGGCAAGGGTCCTGCAGTCGAGGGCTTAACATGGGTGACAGGCCAGCCGCAGCCAACTGAAGCGACCTGAAATGCTCCCCTGTCAGAAGCAGACTCTTGCAGGACTGGCGTTGGGTTTGCTTGGGCTGTATCTATCGTATGGCATCTCCTACGGCACTGAACTGTACAAGGCTGCTAGGACCGCTAGGACTCATTCATCCTGTCCTGAGAAGGATGCGTGTTGGGCTGCCAGCTAAGTCCCAGGCTTCCGCACTACAGGGCACGCCGGACGGCCCAAGCGTTTTCTTCTTTTTACGACGCAGCAAACCATATGGCCTTGTCGGTTCTGTTGATGGTGCTGGGGAGAGCATGGGGGTTGACGCCCCCCAAAAAGTGTCAGTCACTGCCGGCGAGATGATCTGCCTAACTTTCAAAGTATCGAAAGTGGCCGTCGACTATCTATCCTGGCGGGCTAGATGTCGAGCACTCATTGGTCCATGAGAGATGGCCCGCCCTCTTTCATCTCCAAGCCACTCCCAGCGTTGCCGTTCTGGTGAACGACATGCTTTCGACTGAGCTGAGCTGAGGTAGATGCCAAGGTCTAGGCTCTGAGAAGTGGGAAGAAAAAAAAAAAAAGAGAGCTGATCCCGAGGGCCTTGTTTAGAGGTCCGTCTCTTCGGAGACGACGACGCACTCCCCCTCCCATTTTCTGCCTTCATTCTCTGATAGCACCCCTGAGGCGCGAAGGATGGAACGGCGAAGTCTCGAGGCCCAGCAACACTATGGTCTAAGGCTATGGAGGACATGGGGGTGCAAGATGGGCTGAGGTCAAGGGCAAAGGAGATTCGTTGCCCTATCTGGAGTGTGCTATTGCGTATGCCCGACGCACATGGGGGAGAAAAGCGTGGGACACGTGTGACGATGTCTGCGCCGGCACTAGCAGTGACATTTACGGCAGCTGTCTTTTGTGCTTTAAATTTTTTTTTTCAGGGTGTGGTGATGTTATTCTGTGCTTGGCGGAGTGGCATGTATACAGGGCAGGGCACGTATCTATGGAGTTATGGAGGCCTGTGATGGCTGGATTCGCTGCGATTGGCCCAGATGTACGATGGGTAAAGGGTTGTGGGATCTGAGCCGCACGTTTATCACCGGTTGACGGCTGTTGGTTATCGCATCGCATCGCATCGTATCATGTCATGACGATTTGGGACATTTTATTATCGTGCCCGAAGCCGAGGTTAATAGTTGGTGTAACGGTATGAGCATGGAGACTGGAGTCGCTGTCTATCACGGTAGGTACCTATCTAGGTATGTTGATATGGCGTGGACGTGATGAGTTTCGTCTAAATAAGCATCATATCAACGCTGCTACTGCTACCGACTACGACCGGCTACTGCAGCGTCTCATGCTCATACAGGTAATGATTCTTCTCGCTTGCCGGCATCATTTTGCGCAACTACAAGCCATATTGCAACTAGCGTAGAACGAAGAGCATGGGGGTTTGATGATAGAGAGCGAAGAATCGTGGGCAGCGTTTGTCTGCTACTAGCGCTTGTGCCTTATCGTCGTTGTCTTCTTTGTCTGCCAATTCTCTTTTCGGACACAAAACCACGTTTTGGGAGCCATAATACCAAGGAATTACGGAGCTTCAACGACCCAGCAAAACGAGCGGGTTTGAGGCTGATGGAATTAGTAGCCATGCCCGTTCCGGACGTACTTTGCGAGCGAAGGAACCAGGCTACTGGTTTCATGCCATGTCATCGTATAACAATTTTTTTTTCTCCGTTAGTCCAGACTGGCGGGTTTCTCTAACTAGTGATGGGGAAAACTTATGCCAAGACTTGTCAAGGGGAAAAAAAATGAACAAGTGATGAAAAATGTTTCCCATCAGCACAAAGACCGCGGATCCAGCGCCCGCCCGGCTGATCATCACCTTACTGTGTTGATTTCCTTTTTGGAGACTTTGTGGTGGTCAGAACTTACGCTGCCGCGTTTGCCATTCTATCACACATCGGGCCGTTGGAGTAAACTGTCATGGCTCGGGCAGCGTTGGAGTAAAGCGATGTTACTGGACGAGTACTTACTCCATACTCCAGGCCCTTCTTTGTGTGGTTCCGGTAACATGGTGTCATTGAATAGTTGCAAAAGAGGAGGGGCGTGAGAAAGAAGAGAACGGGGGGAAAAGGGCTGAGGTGAAGGAGACGGTTGGCCGTGTGATTGGATTTGCTTGCTCTGCCTGCCCCGAGCGTGGCTTGCTTTTGATGGAGTATGTGATCTGTGCTCTGCTCTGCTTCTGCTCTGCTCTGCTCTGCGCACACCCTCTTTCTCCCGCCGTCCATCTGCTTCTCGCTCTCCTCATTTCTCTCGGGCGATATCATCATCATCTCATCATCACAACGGGCCCCATCGCTGTCCCGTGTTCGCAAGGGCCTGCGGGCTTCCTCGTCCTGGGCGAATGAACGCGTGTTCCAGCTGGTTGGATGGGCCACGGATCCAATCACACGGTGCTGCCGATGAGGCTATTCTGGACCGGCAGCCAGCGCCTGTCACGGTACCCTCCATCCCGCCTCTGCCTCTAGCCCATGAGCTGCCTCTTGTTCTTGTTCTTGTTCTTGTTCCCGTGTTTGTGCTTTGTGTCCGTGCATTGTGCTTCTGCGCCATCGTTCGATTCTTCTGGCTGTTTACGAGCCGCTTCATCTTACATGACACTGCACTACTCGTCCATGCTACTTTACATGTCATGTATCAACTGCAACATCGCCGTGGCCCGTGTCATTTGATGCCACAAAGCGCCTGTTGGTTTCTTCCCACCCCGTCATCTCTTTCCGCATGCATCCCGCCTGAGCATGGACTCGCACGAGCAAAAGTACAGGCAAACAGGCAAAAATCCTGCTTGCACACACGCCCTCACCTTGATGGGCGCCGCACGGCCAGACAAGCCGGGTGTCCATCCCAAGAGAACAGGACACGGCCAGATAGCCGTACCACTCCATCGGGTAACATGATTCCAACCTTACTGTCGTTTCTTTGTTTCTTTTCGTTTTTTTTGTCGGCTTATCCCTTAGCTGTTCTATTTTTTCCTCGCCTCGCTGCCTGGAGCTTTATGGCGGCGCCGCCCTGTTTCTGGAAGCGTGCTTGACATTGCCGCTGTCAGCGTCGACGCCCGTCCTTTGTCTCAGGCCAAGGGTACATGACAATTCCATTCCCTCTTCCATTGTTCTCAGTGGCAGCTAACACGACGCCATCCCGGCTTACTATTCGCAATGCTTGGTTCTATTGCACCTATTGCATGGGCTTTGACGCCACCAAAACAAAGAGTCTTGAAATCATGGCTGAACTAATTCTCACCGAGGCTCTAATAGGTAGCTCGGCTCAGCCTTGCTACTCTACTAGCACGAGGATTGCGCCCAAAAAGACAAAACACACCATTTTTGAGTGTACATATGTGCGAGTACTGTAATGTCATGTAATGTAACCCTGCTGGCCGTTGGTCATTCCTGCAGATACGCGCCCGGCCTCTCCTTTTGTCCTTTTGTTCTTTTTTCGTGTCTCGGAAGCACGCCAAGTTGTATCCCGGAGGAGCTACTGGACAGCTGTGTTGGTTCCCTGACGGTGGGCGCTCTGGATGGCGGATTTTACGAGTTTCATTCATGTTGCTTCCGTGGCGGCTGTTGTTTGTGTATATGCAAAACTGTGCAACTGTGCAAGACGCGTCTGGACCTTGATGAGACGGGACAAGTCACCGAGCACAAAAGTACATAGGGGAGTCTGTATTGCGCGAGAAGCAAGTATTGGGGGATTGCTTGGCGCCTCTTGATTTGTAGTGGCTTGCTTTGTGACGGGCTGCCACTCGGTTCAATTCGGAGAGAGTTTCGTTTGTGAATGACCTGTCATCTAGCCACAGACGAGGTGAGCGAATCCTGCGCAGGACGCGATGAGGAGGTGATGCATACGGGCCTGCCATCGGTTCTGCTTGTGCATGCCTTGTGCGTCTACACACACCTGCATACGTACATAGTTGTACTCGTACATATATACGCACACAATACATACATACCTAGGTGAGGTACTGCTTACTTGTACTTCGATGGAAGGTGTGTAGTATTCGACGATAGGATCCTACGCGGGGTAAGTAAATGAACAGATTGCATCAAATTGTGGTGAAATGAGCCACCCATTCAGCACCCGCTGTCACATATCAATGAGGAGTCGTGCTTTGCTGGGTGTCTCGGCCACTCCACGTATGATGTGGGAGCAGCCCCTATTCATGTGCCTTGATGAGAGAAAGGCTGGACTTAAGTAAGACAAGCAGTTGGAGAAGTGGCGAGGAGAGTGAGGGGGAGGATAGGTGTCTACAGTCCGGAATTGGGGGTGAATAGAAAGCCATTGATGTTTGATGCCGTCTTTGCCGTCTAGTGTTAGTACAACCATTGGCTGTTTCATATACAGACTGGCATTCTGCCAGTTTGAACGCAGGTGATCAGGTTGTGGTGGTTGAATGGATGTGAACTTCTTCGTATGCACGCCTGTTTACTCGCTTTTGTTGTATTTACGATCAAGGTACCTAGTAACCATGGCCATTGAGCACTTAGCTATCATTACAATGCCGTGCTTGCTCTTTACCTCTCAGATGTGGGACGACATGATAAGATCCTGCTGAATGTGCTTGCTATGATACATGACTCATATATGCCATACGACGTACTTGGACAAAGAAGAACGCGTGAAATGTAAAGTCGAAGGGAAAAAATGGCTAGCTAAATGGATCCTACCATATTCTAGTATCATATCCTGTAAATGTATAGATGAGCTGTTGGGCTGCCCAATAATTTAGCTGGATGCCTTTTGATGAGCTCTGTAACTACTGAAGCACGCAATGATAGGTAAAGTTGATCTTTCGTTCATTCGCCCGTATCTTGATGCCATCAGTGTGTTCCCTAAGCTGAAGAAGCCAACATCTTATTTCTTCTTTGGCTACATAAGTCCTGGCAATCTATTGTCCATCTTGGCTCTCCTTTTAAGATTAACTTTTAACTTATGTAGTAGAGCGGAATGTCGCTCATAAAGTTCGCTTGATTGTTTTGGAACGATGGGCTTGTATGTTTTGATCGGCGTCAAATTGCTTGAAGAGATGCAGTGAGAAACGAGCACCCATTTTTGAGCTCTATGAGCGTCATGAGGATTCAAAATGAAGTTTCTTTTGGTACCCCGAGGTTTTTTGGGATTTAGCTCCAAGTATGCTGTATGCACATCATCTGGAGGCAGGTATCCGCAATCAGATTAACCGATCGAGGGCTGCCTACTCGTCGGGTGAGGTTGTATCAAATAACGGCGTGTCTCGATATACTCGTGAGTGGTACTCTAGTTAATATTAGTGTAAGAGACATGATCAAGTAAAGTTATTCAGTATGAAATCTGGGACGCTATTGCAGAGATTCGTTCAGCCCCCTTTCAGAAGCTTGAAATATGAATTGGACCTGAAGTTATTCGCAACCTATAT